TGAAATTGAATGATTCTCCCTAAATGTTACTTTTTCTTATCGTGACCCTTCATGACCTCGTCTCCAAAATAAACACAGATATCTTTGATGATCGAAGAGAACGAAACTAAAAGAAGAGTGTTAGTGATTATTCTCGATTGACAGGAACATGGATCAAATTAGAAACGGTTGGTTCAGTGAAATTGCTGATTTATGGCCGGGACAATCTTTCTCGTTGGAAGTAGAAAAAGTTCTATACCAGGCTAAGTCAGCTTATCAAGATGTTCTCGTCTTTGAATCGTAAGTTAAAATTTTAATTACTGTTAATCAAGTACTTTTGAGACTTTATTCGTACTTCATTATATCTTTACAATTCACTTATAGTTGATATTAATAAGCCTATTAGTTTGATTCTGAATAAACCTAGAAATACATTCAGGCGCAAATTCAGAGACAGTAACTATTTGCCTATTTGTTTTCGGTGAATATAATTTAAAATCTAAATATCTCTCTCTTTTTGTCTCTCTCTCTCATCTTCATTACTTTCCCCTTGACCCACTTTTTCTCTTTTATTTTAATATTTTTTCACCAAATTCACTATCCGACGTTTCGTCTTCTGACAATCATACTCATGCAAGAAAAATAGTGCTTCTCTTTCTAATTTCATTGATGTATAATTTCTTTTGATTTGCTCTTCTGAATCCTCAGGTATTAAAAAAAACTTCATCTGTATTGAAAAAACACTTCATTGTGAGACAGTTTGACAAAACCGTAACACGAGTTTCGCCATACAATGGCCTCTTTGGGCGTGTTTTCATTAACTATATTCTACATATTCAATTAAGCATATTCAGAGTATAGTTAGTGAAGACACGCCCGAAAAAGCCATTGTATGGCGAAACACGTGTAGCGTTTTTCTCAAACTGTTTAGTGAAAATCTCACAATAAAGTGTTTTTTGAATACGTTAGTTATGGATTTTCATCAAGTATCGGCGAATTTCATCATATAACTTCATCTGAGATGGTCATGACTGAATCGAAAAATTTAATTTTGATAAACACTAGTTGTCAGAATATTACTGGAGTTTTTTTATAACACCAAACCGTTATTTCAACACCTCAACACTTGTTTCGACAACCAAGATCAAACTGTTCGATCTTCCTCTTGAAGATGATCACTTGGTGATCGAAACACGTGTCGAGGTGTTAAAATAACGGTTGGGTGTTGGGAAAAACTCCAGTAATATTCATTACTACACCAAAGGTTCCAAACAGCGCATCACAAGTACTAGTTGTCAAAACCTATAAAACATCATAAGTTTGCACGAATACTTCAGTCGAAATGTAATCATTCTCAAATTATAAATTTGATAGGAATAGTATGAAAATAGCACAAATTTATTTTGAATTATATCCGCAGAAATACAACAGTCGGATAGAACATTATTCAGTATTTTGGAAAATTCCCATGGTGGAGGAAGTTGTTCAGGTAAAAAACACAGCGAGTGGTAGAGTATTTTCGTCGTCGTCTCTGAATGATAAAATGTCAGATCCTACTGCCGCAGCGATACACATTTTTCTTTTTTTTTTCTAATCGATAGCCGATTGGGTTGGCGTGAGTGGTTCACCCCACTCATTCAGTTAACCGCCATGTGAAACGGTGGTTCGAACCCCACGGTCAGACGATCGATTTTCACTGCTTATCGCCTAACCCTTGCTAGGAGCCACAAGTTAAACAGTAAGACCCCGCTAATCCTTAGCTCGCACAAGTTTCCGTAGAAGGGCGACAGCTGGAACGGGAACAGAAAAACATATTTTTCGCTAGCATGCTCATTTAGCTTCCTTCGAGGTGCTTTCATCGCCGACGTTGAAAGTGGACTGTCATGAAACTTTTGTACAATTTGTGATTTCCTCATTTCAAATTTGAAGCAATAAAGTTATGACCAATCTTGTCCGTACCACAAGCAAGGTTTGTGGTGATTGGGATTATAAGACAGAATTACAAATTCAATAATACATGGTGCTATTTTTTGTCCTCCACAACCTTGACAGATGACATGGTATGTCTTGATGTCTTTTTGATTAAATATTTTGATTTACGAATTAGGATTTATATCTGTTATCAGTCATCTGGCAACAGATATACATTCGTTTCTTCTAGTTGAATGTTTGAAAAAAATCTGTTTAAAATCTGTTTTTCCGTTAATCAGCTGCCGCCCCCATACGAACGACAACTCTTAGAAGTTGAGAAACTTGTGCGAGCTAAGGACTAACGAGGTCTTACCTTTTAACGTGTGATTCCTAACACCTAAATAAAAACTGCAGGAAGCGAAAAACAATGTTCAATTCGATGTTAATGTCTCAGTTAAGTCCAGTCAATTCGTTTCCTGTTTTCAGCGTCAGTGGGCTGATCTTAAAAAAACACCCAGGAGTATTTTAAAGACAGATACAAACTTAGCGTAAGAAGGGTTTTTTCGTTTAGCGTTCAAGAAGGATTTGGAATATGCAACCAATACTATATAGAGTACTCACATTTGAAAACCGGAGTATTCAAAAAATGTTTCGTGTTGCCCTTTATTTAAATACAAAATATGCTTTTCATATCAAGACACAACTGTTGAACTGAATACATGTCTGTTATTTATTTGTACCTAACATATCTAGTCAAGCCTACTCTGTTGTATTTAATTTTGTATATTACAACAAGTATTTTTATTTCAGGTGGAGATTGATGAAAAAGTTGTCATCGCAAGCAAACAATTTTTACCTTTCATGGCTAAAGGTTTCGATTCTCCAAAACTCACCTTGAACATATGTGATGGTTTTGAATACATGAAAAATCATGTAGGAGAATTTGATGTCATTATAACAGATTCCTCAGATCCTATTGGACCAGCTGTTAACCTCTTTACAGAAAATTATTATGGTCTTCTGAAAAACGCTCTAAAACCAAATGGTATGTATGCATGAGTTTTTGTAGACGATAACGAATGTATCATCTTGATTGGAAATAATTTTTTTTAAATTTTCAATGAATTCTGCAATATGAATATTAGAGTATAGTACTCGAAATAAATAAATAAACTGCTTTCCAATCCAAACGGGTCTAGATCCTTTTGGTCGGTAGCTAAAGCTGTTAATAAAAACTTTACAAAATCCACAATTCCACCACTGACACAAGCGGATGGTTCAATTGCAACAACAGCCAAAGAAATAGCAAATCTACTAGCTGAAGAATTTGCGTCCTGCTCTAGAATTCACAATGCCGGAAATTACTTTTCCGAAACAGCTCAATATCATCAAGGCGTCTGGTCCTGATGAAGTGCCCGTCAACGTACTTGAAAAGTTCGCAAATGAACTCGCACCAGTGTTTTGCAGACTTTTCAACCTGTCTTACAAGAAAGGGGTTTTTCCTTCTGGTTGGAAGATTGCTCGCGTTCAGTCTCTATTCTCGATAAATGCAAGAAAAATCTTTCAAATAACTATAGACCAGTCGCTTCGCTATTAATGATATCAAAAATCATGTAGAAAGCCGTAAACCAACATATCCTTAAATATCTGGAAGGCTTCAACATCTTGAGCGATCATCGGAAACAAAGATCAACAGGCGACTTTCTATCGTATGCCACCCATATTTGGAATAACGGAATCGAGAAACATGGATAGGTAAGAGCTGTAGCGCTGGATAGGCCTTTGACCGTGTGTGGCATGAGGGTTTGCTGGCCAAACTTTGAAGCTATGGTTTGTCTGATAATTTTTGTGTATGGCTCTTCAGCTTCCTGAAAGAACGTTCCCTGCAAGTGGCCGTCGACGGAGTATCTCTCGAATACTTTTACCATCTACGCTGGTGTTCCCCAGGGATCTATATTGTCGCCAACCTTGTTTCTATTGTATATAAATGACTCATTGGAAAAAACGAGAATCCAATATAATGCTCTGCTGACAACAGCACACTTGTTTTGTCATTTCATTTGGATTCCAGGACATCGGTGGCGGATGCACATCTTCACCGGCAACAGGAGGTTGCATATTTTAATGAGGATCTGGAAGTTATTTCGAATTGGGGTGAAAGTAACCACGTTCAATTCAATGTAACAAAAACCCAGGCATCGGTTTTCTCCTAAAAAATAAATGTCTTCGAATCGGATATAATTATGTCAGGTCAGACAATTCCTCTTTCTGCTTTGATAAGTTTGTTGTGGGTTAAAATGCACACCAATATGTCTTGGCAGAATTATGTCGCTGGAATTGCCAAAGCCGCTTCTCAAAAGCAAGATAAAAACATGGAAAAGTTGATAACCTCACATCACTCAAAAAATGGTTGGCAAAACTTCTATTGAAGTGATCAGTACCAATTGCCTCAAACGCCAGTGAATCGTGACTAATAATGCTGTATTTTCACCATTACGACGTTTTTGTTTCCACTGACCATAATATTAATAACCACTGTTCAACATATCATATCATCGCTTGTGTCTACTCCGTAATTATACTTCCAATTTTATTGTAATTTCTCTTTATTCTAACGTTATCTAGATCTAGACCATATTTTTCAAAAATCGGAACAATGTTCGAACAACAATTTGCCAAACACCCACCATATTGGTTTTCTTCAATATTTCTGCTTCTAAAGATTATAAAAGAAAATTATTTTCAGTCTGTAGAGACGTTCAAGGCCAAGAAATTTTTTGGGCATACGATTTCGTACGAAGCTGTAATATAAATTTCAAAATTTGAATCAATATGATACTTTTTGTCACCATTCCCATAATTACCCTGGTTTCAAATTATTATGAAAACTTCAATTCATATGATTAAATACATTTTAGTATTTGTTTTTCAATTATGTCCCAAGGGAGTTATGACCCTCTTTATTGATAGCGTAACTATGACGATATAAGCTTATAATATCCCGGTCAGAAATAAAATACATTTTAGTATTTGTTTTTCAATTTAAATTTTTTCAACTGACTTTTCTTATCTATTGTTATCGATAGTTGAATAGATCAATAAAAAAAATGTTTATTCTAATAATAACGTATATATCATACATTTTTTCCCCTTTCCTATTAGATGTTCAGCTTTCTGAATAATATTTCTCATGAAGTTTTTCTTTTGCAGGTGTTATCAGTTGCCAGGCTGGCACTGTATGGTCAGACTTTCCCCAGGTGAAGCAAACAATGGAAAACTGCAAAAAGCATTTTCCAATTGTTAACTATGCTACGTCTAGTGTTCCCAGCTACCCTGATGGACAAATCGGATATATGGTTGCTACTCTCAACAAATCACTAAATTTGAAA